CTTCCTCCTCTATATCTTATTTAGCTCGCAAGGATAAACAGAGGACTCGAAGAGGGCATCTCGGAGGTCGCGACGGTACTGCTTATAGCTCTGCTCGCGCAAGCCTCTGTTGCCGGGCGGGGGCTTATATATAGAGAGGAGGAAGGTGTTATTAACAGCTATATCTAATAGGAAATAGAACAGTGGTTTCCAGGTTTTCCTATAGACTCGAATTATATTATAATTACTGCGGTACTAGTCTATATAGTTAACAGCGCTTATCTAGTAGTTATACTTATTAATTAGGTTAGGAATAGGCAGCTAAGCTCTAGGCCCGTCGCTAAATATCCTAATAGTTTATATATAGCCTGTAGTAGTTATAGCAGGTTACTTACAGTGCTTTTTAACGCTGGATTAACTTGGCAATATATAATATTAGCGGCTCTACGGCATAGTATTAAGGCTCTACAACCTTAATTAAAGCTGCTATACTTACTATTATAAACTATAGATATAAATAGAACTACTATAGCGTTTTTCTATATAAACTATATTACCTAGCGACTTTTAAAAAGGGCTTTATAGAGCTTCCCCTATATAATCTAGCTAGAATAATTTAATTTAAGGTCTATTAACGTATTCTATAAGTAAGCTATCTACCTAAGTAAGCTGTTTACTTTATTATAAAAACCGGCCTTAAACGTTAATTGCTCTATAACGCTAATAGATATTAACTATATATAACTTATAGCCTAATCTACAGCAACCTCTGCATTATTTTTGCACGTACGAATATTATGCCCTAGCTCGCCGCAGCGTCTATAGCGCCGCGCGCTCCCGCTAGAATCTGCCCTGCCTTACTGCCTTTTGCTTTAGGCGTCCTTATTAAGCCTTTAAGCAGCTATTTAAGAGCCTGCTTCTATTATTAAAGTTTCTTTTTTCTAAATCTGCTTTTTTTTACGCGCCTTATACTTTATAGCGGCTTTATTTACCTTTTAAAGGCTAGCAACTATATTATATAGTAGCGTGGCTTAATATATTATTATTGCAGCACCTTTAGAAAAGCTGCTAAGCGTATTAAAAATTGCTATAGGTAAGCTATTTTAATACCTTTAAATATAATTATAAATTAAAGCTAATTAAGAGCCTAGCTTATAAGCGTTGCTTAGTATTTTTAATTCCTATTAAGCCTTTACTATAGCAGAAGGTAATAGTATATAAAGCCGAATATTAAGCTTTAAAAGCACTGCCTCTAGATTAAGTAGTATAAGGCCTGCGCCTTAAAAGCCTGCGTAAATATTGCTTTTTATAATTAAGTTATAGAAGGCTACTTTAAATACTAGCAAAAACTTTAGCTTTATAATATAGTTAATATAGTAGTATATTAAGTCCTTAATTTAGCGCCTATATACCTTTTTTAACGGCGTAAAGCAGCTAATATTAAGCAGCTGCAGCAGGTGCAATAAATATGCTGGTATATAGAAAGTAATAATATTATTCTCCTTATAAATCTCTTTAAATTTAAGTAAGTAGTAGCTTTTATAGCTATTAATAATTAGCAGCTAATATATACCTATAGTATAATCCTTTATATACTTATTAAAATGCTATAGCTAGGTAATACTAAGCTTATTTATTGTTTAGCTATTATTACTTACTGCTATAACCTAGTTTAGTAGTATATTATTGCCCTTATACTATATAGAAAGGTAGTACTTACCTAAAAAAATAATAAATAGCGGGATAGCCTATTTATAGGTATTAACTCCTTAGATTATTATTATCTATTCGCGATTGCCTAGCTATATTAATTTTAGATAATTGCACTGCTTAGAGCCTATTATAACCACGCTAGTTAAGATAACGCCTATTTAGAATCTAGCTTTATTAAAGTTATATATATTTTTATCTAGAATGCTATACTTTGCTTTTATATTATATATAAGCTTAAACCAATTGCTAATTACCTTTAGATCCTTGTATAAAGCTTTCTAATAATTGTACTTTTAATTAAATTATGTTTTAAGCTTAGGTGTTCGCTTAACAAAGTTCTCTGGCCAGTTCTTGCCAACGTGGCCGGCGGCGCGCTCGGCGAGCAATTTGTTGGCCATCTCTCGTACAGCATGCAGGTTGGGCGGAAATCCTCGCGAATCCAGGTCGAGTATATGTTGAACAACAACTGATTCCTCTAGCTTGGAAAGCTTCTTCGAATTAGGCTTAGAATCGCGTCGTGGGGTCGTTCCAGCGCGTCGATCTCGAAGTGTGCTTCTGGGTACGTTATATGTCGTAATAGCGCGCCGTTCGCTTTTAAATTGCTGCTGATTGATTGCTGCGATAGCCATGCATATTCGACCTTCATTTTGTATTGATTGCACGTTGTGTTGTCGACGCATGGTGGTTGGAAGTTGACGCGTCGCGTTTTTGTGATGAAGTGGACGGCTCGCTTGGGTGGACGGCTCGCTTGTGGAATACGTTAGCGATGCTAAAAAGGGCTCTGCAGGCACCTTCTTTTTGCGCGCTATCTATTCTTATATATAACCTTATATATTCTCCTTAACAGCCTTCTTAATATCTATAGCCTTGTCGCCTAGCTTCTTACGCTGTGTTCGTGTTGTTCGCACAGTGCTAGCTGCCCTAATTCCTAGGCCTCGGAGCCTTTTAAAGAGCTTTACTAAGCTAAAGAAATTATCTAGCTAAACCACGTGCTTATAAAGGGGGTAGAGGACCTTATTAGTAACCGGATTATACTGTATAAAAAGGTTAAGTATAATAGCTTAGGTTTTTATAAAGCCCTTATTAAAAAAGGACTTATTTAGGTCTACTAGGCCTTTCTTATCGCCCTTAGCATGCTATAGCCAATTTAGAATATAGCTATAGTTAGCTAGAACCCAGATTTTAAAGCCCTTAGGCGTTAGCTTTAATAGTATATTAATAATTTTAGGGGCCCTGCCTATAAAGCGCTAAATAGTTTTATTAATAGCTAGGTAAGGCCTAGGGTTCTAGTATATACGGCAGCGTACGCGTAGGTGCTCTAAAAGCTTATCTACGCGGTTAAATATTATATAAAAGCTATTCTTAGGTATAGAGAAGTATTAAATATAGCAATTTAGCTGCTTAAAATAGTTTTTTAATATATAGTCTAATACTTTATAATCCGCTCCACGGGCCTAGAAGCCCTAGTAGTTCTCTACTATAGATTCCACCGTAATTCCTATATAAATAACTACGCTAAAATATATATACAGCTCCTTTCTATATATAAGCTGCTACTTCCTAGGCCTTCCCTTTAGTATACGCTTGTCCGGTGTTAGGTAAGCCTCTATATACTGGTTTATCTACTCTACTATTTTATTAACTATTTTATTAGTAAAGAATAGCCTGAAAAGGCGTAGGGGGCCGTGCCTGTTAAGACTGGGAGGCAGATAGGCTTCTCCGGGGTCCTAATAGTTAACTATTAGAAAAGGAGTAAATATAGGTAAGGGCTATAGTTCTAGAGGTGGATTTTTCGAATTTTTAGTGCGTAAATTACTTTTCTTAATAAAGTCGATGTTGTTAGATATTCTAGGCATTTTATAACATTAATTTAGTGTAAATAGCTAGCTAATTCGTTTTTTTACATATTTTATTAATGCCTTACAAATATCTAGGCATAGTATTAGTATATAGTACAGCTTAGCGTTGCACCCCAACAGTATAAGGGATAACCCTGGAACCTAGGGCCTATAGACACTAGATTAATCCTAGAAAATATATTAAAATAGCTTAATCTATAGTAATACTTATAGAGCTACCACGCGTTTTCTATAGCCGCGTAGAAATAAAAGGAACGTAAGGCGTTATATACTATAGAAAATAAGGTTTTTACCTAACTACTATAGAGCGAACGGTTTCCCCTTATAAATAAAACCTAGATAGCACTGCCGTATAAACCCTAACGGGAGCTAAATCGGCCTAATAGAGCCTAATAATAATAATAATATATAAGGAATTAATATATCTATTGCTAGCTAAAAGGATTAAGGTGTATATATTAAGGAAGTAGTCCGGTCTTTTAATATAGTACTGTTATTACTATTACGCGGATAACTTAGTACCTATATAGGAATCTAGCCTCTATAAGGTATATATAATATTAAATAATTAAAGCCTTACCTGCTAGAAAGATTCTATATTAATTAGTATATATAATTTTATAAAATTTTGTTTTTCTAGAAAGGCAATTCTAAAATATATTTAGGTTAATATTATAGGATTTTACGTAGTCCGCATGCGATCTGTATAGCCCGTTGCGCTAGGCAATAATAGCCTGCTGCAGGCGCTCCCTAAAGCCAGGCGCCTAAGGCTAGCAAGGTATATTAGTAGTTAGTTTTAAATTATTTAAAACCAGCAGCAATATATATTTTTATGGAGTTAATGTTTATAGGCCGGCAGAACCTTAGTTCGCGGCGCGCTAAACTACATATAGCTAGTGCACGCGAAAAAAACACGTAAGGCTTAAAAACGTAATAACTAGGTTAAACGTAATAACCTGATCACCTACGTTACAGCAGAGGGAACTTGGGGGCATTTTCGGTGTCGTTATTGAAGACTTAAAGCTTTCCAACATCGAAGGACTATGCGGCCGGCTAAAACTGGTCCGACGGGTAATCTACCGCTCACCCTGACCTCCATCAAGGGAATTAGCGCAAGCCACATTACTACTATTTCTCTGTGGGGGTTTTTGCGATGCTTTAAATAGAATAGGACCAATCGGATGCTCCCCCTTGTAAAGTACTTGGCACGAGTCCAGCAGTTAAAGCCATGCTACTAATCCGAGATACTTTGAAGCAAGAAGCCTGCTGACAAATAGGCGGAGAAAGAGTGCAAGCTGGTGGTGCTTGGGGACAGGGGCTTTAGAAACACAGCATTACCCATCAAAGTGAGTCCCACCCTCGCCACTTGCCAGTATCACACCGATCTTTCTCGAGACATTCCTCTCCCCCCTCGCGGCGGATTGTGCCGCCGCCCACTATCCTCCAATATATACCCAGAAAGAGAAGCATCCTGCTCCTGAAACACCGTTATATTAAGTCCCGAACGATCGATACGTGTTCAACATTGAGGCTTGACTTAAAAATCATGGTATGAGCGCTCCAGCAGCATAGAACATCACTAACTTCCGTTCGTATTCAGTCCGCCCTAGGAACGTACAAATTCAAAACAGGACTTGGAGTCCGCAGTATAGAGGTTAGTTCCTGTTTCTTATCACTGAGTGCAAACTAATAGACTTGAGCCACCTAGAAGCAACTGCAAAATACTATACACACGGGAACCTTACGGACAGACGAAGACCTCACGCTCTGTTGGGTGAAGATTAACACGGGCTTCGAAAAAATACTTGCGGGTGGACCTTCAATATCCGAAATTCCAAGTATTATACGCCTGCAAATTGGATACTACGAATTGGTCCTCACACCGACCATGCTTTCACACCTAGAATCCAAGTGTAAGATTGCGACAGACTACGATCCATTCAAACCCATAAGCGGCAGCTGCATCTATGGTTTTCAAGAGGCCAGAAACAGGAAAGGCAGACAGTTTTTAGAACGCTGCCAGTTTCATGCGCCGCATGTGAAGCAGGTGTATGATTCATATATCACGAGACGAAAAGAAAGCGAAGCCTGGTGGAAATTCAAGTTTCCTCTTTCCTGGAATTGACGAGTGCTATCCGTAGAATAATAATTCCAGATCTCTACTTAATAGGAATGTACAACTTCACCTTCGTCATTACACTCAATCTCTCAGGAGACTTCCTAGGTCGGATTGACGTCTGGAAAACATATAGATCCGAAATGCTAAATATACCGGAATCCTCCATAGGCTTAGAAGGCTATACTGGCGTAATTGGTCTTGCTGGAAGGAGATTCACGCGAGAAGCCTTAAAAAGCACCTTAGTTTTCCGTCCTACGAGCTGTATTGCGTTGGACGTCTAGATTGCGTGCAAGATTAAGTTGTCCCCTCTGTCAACCTCTTCCATGTAGAGAGAAGGCTATTAATTAGGGACACATTCACGAAATAGATAGTGGCGAGTTGCAGGCGCAAAGAGCTTAGATAACAATAACACAATTCAATGCTTCGCATGTCCTTGTATGTGGCGCGCTGGCGAGCGAGAACTATACAGGCTGGCGACAAAAGTAGTGTTAGGCGCGACGAGAGCGGTGTTGGACGTGTCTGGCTGGAGGATGCTGAGGCGCAGTGTTTGAGCGATGCAAGAGAGCACGCGCCGAGATTCCATGGAGAAGGCGTCACCGTCATCCTAAGATCCTCGTCCCAGGCGAGCGCGTAACCCGCGAGAAGATAACCACAGCAGCACCTGGTTTGATCTGTTTTGATATGCTTGGAAGATCTTTGCAGTGCAAGACACCTGACAATCTGTCACTGGCTTCATCATGCGGCTCTGGACATTGCAAAAGGTCAGGACAGCGTTGCAGCGCACGGGACTTACTCAACAACAGGGCCGTCTCCCTCTGCCATCGCCCTGAAGGCACGCCACAAGAGGAGGCTTTGCCGACGGCTGTTTTGATGCGCCGCTCGAAGCGGCTGTGCTTCTAGACCGGCTTGTCGTGCTAGCGTTGCATGACGGCGGGCTTCCACGGCGGCGCATGCCGTCCCTAACGATGCCGGCAGCTTGTCGCGCTCGTGGGGAGAATTGCGAGGAGCTAGGGTGGAAACGAGGAGAGTGGCAAGTAGCTGCGCTTCGTTCGCCGGGAAGCCTCGAAGCTTGACCCATGAAGTCACGTGTACCGAAATCAAAAGCCTGCGATTATTGGCCGACCTCACCAATTTTAGCCTCAGCCTTCTGTTCCTCACCTTCACTCTTTGCACCCTCTACCTTTTCCATCCATACCCCGCGAAATCGGACGTGGTTCCGATCTGTGGCTGGGCCGGCTTTATGCTGCGGGTTCAAGCCGCCTTCCAGCCTTTCACCGGCAAGCACAGCCTTGTATGCTATGCTTATCTTACTGATGTTGTTGTCTTTACTGGCTGGCAGGATCTTCTGGGCATTCTAGGATCATTTCCCTTGCAGCATATGCCAGCGCGTCTGTACTGCGCCTGCAGTCCGATCTAGGAAATACTTGAATGTATCCTTTCATTCCATAGCTCCTTAGAAGCCGTATAGAAAAGTTAGAATGTAGAATATTACTACTCTGTAGCATACGGAAATGAGGAATGATGCTGGATGAGGAATAGCAAGAGCTTCGTTGAGGCAGCGCCGCGCCTGCCGTGACACTAGAAAACTGTCCCTCGACATCAGAATCGTTTCGTGATAGTAATACTCTGCCACGTTCCTCACGCCCGCATCAGTCACCTTCTTGAGCAGAGGCCCCTCCTCCGGCCGCTCTTTATGCTCCCAAGAGTCTTTGACAACTAAAGACTGGCCCGATTTATCCCCGTGGACTTCCCAACAGGGCGTCGCTCGACCTGCCGCACACCGCCGTCGCTTTATAACACCATCGAGATGGTATCGCTCTGGTAGTGCATTCCGCGTGATTTCGATGTATCTGCTGCCCATTTCTCCGCATGTAGTGGGATTAAATCCGAGGTCCTTTGCAGCCGCACACAGATATCCCAAGACTGCGGATATGAACATCAGCGCATTCTCATGTATGTCGAATGTTTTCGAGGCGATTGCTCCGAGCCGGTCGAATGCCCAGAGCCGCATGCCGCAGAGTGTAAGACCAGTAACAGATCGTCGGGTGTCTTGCGCTGCAAAGATCTCCCGAGCATATTGAGACACGAGGACGTCGCACCGTCGCAGGGAGCACCATCGTCGAACGTCTCGTTCCGCCGGCCATAGATGATGCCAATGTCTAGCTTCCGTTTGCTGACAGATCCGGGGATAGGCTTGTTCGGTGTGGCAAAGCACCGCTGACGCATTGGAGGTTTGAAGCCTCGTTCGTTCGCGAACTGGAGAAATTGATCGATGTGGTGACGGAGCCAGCGCAGCACGTCGGGCTCCGCACAACCCTCTAGCCACTTCGCCCAACCAATGCAGTCCGTGTATAGAGGGTTTCCGACTTCCTTGCACCGCTCAAACACAGCTGTGGCCATCTCACCGAGCTGTGCTCCGCCAACAAATAAGTTGAAGTACTGTTGGTGGTCGACGATAAGATTCCCCTCCAACTCGCCCTTCGGAATTAGATCGGCGTCCTGCCTCAGATCAGATGTGTCCGCGAAACTGTCCGTGTTGAAGGACCATGGTGTCTGTTGGAACGACGCTTTTGCTATGTTTGAAGGATAAGGCAGAGGCAGCTGGGAGCAGCTGTAGGATACCTATAAGTCTAAGGGATAGACTTCGTCCGACCACATTGGTTAGCCAAGCCGTACATGGTTGAATTCTACCCTCACCTAGATTAGCAGCGAGACCCTCGAAAGAGAGCAGACGTCCTTGAGCATTTGCGTCGGGCAATGTCTACTTCAACGTATCGCGAAACGAATCGAGTTCATCCTTGATGGGATCAGCCTCAATGGCTTGTCTTTGAAAGTCGAGCCATGGATGGGAGAGGCCGATTGAGATGACGTGTGAGCATACAGTATCCCCCCCTGTACGGATTGGACACGATCGTGCGTAGAACAAGGGATTTTACATACAAAAACCCTTGTTTTGCGCACGGTCGTGTCCAGTCCGTACAGGGGGGGATACTGTAGTCATAGATAACACGCTATTCCTTAGAAGGAAGGACCCTGCGCCTCAAATGAGTGTGGCGAAGGAAACTCTGTCGTCATAGCACTTCTGCTCGCACTACCAAGTCTAAACATATGCTGCCGCACATGCGCCTGATTGATATCGGATAATGAAACATGCAATGAACTAGGTAACAAGAATGAAGGGAGCTGATCCTAGACCCGTTTCGTGACTTGTAGTTGCTGGCATGTAGCCTTTTAGGGTTGGATCTGGCTTAGCTTTGAAACTGCTCTAAAAATAGCCTCCGGGTCTCGAAATGGGGCTCCTCAGGTCACCCACTTTCGAGAGACTCGATGTCTCGAACCACTTCCTCAGCAGATCCATATTCCTTCTGCCAGCACTTTAAGGTGACTGCGCTGCAAACATGTTGGTCTTGGGGGAACTGCCGGTTCGCGAATCTGTCTCCCACCTTCTCATACCATCCATCTTCGCCGTCGATAATGTCGGGGAACACAGCATGACCCATCATAATGAAGTAGATAGTGCACCCTAGCGCAAAGAGGTCCGTTTTGACGTCCGCATCGAAAGGATCGTCTCGTGGACAGTAGAACCTGCAAGGTTCGCCGCTCCAGCCGTCAAGGAGCACCTCGCCGTTCTCCGACAGTTGTTTCCCCTGGAAGTCGGAAAGCTTGATGTGAAGCCCCTCATCGAGAAGTAGATTTGTAGGTTGGATGTCGCAGTGAAGAACGCGTCGCGCATGGATCCACGCGACTGCCTCGGCAGCCTCTCGGCACCAGGCCAGCCGCTGCTTGAGCGAAGGGAGCGGTTTGCCCGACTCGAGCATATAGTCCGCTACGTTTCCGTTCAGGGCGCGTTCTAGGTAGAGTCCTGTCTTTGAGGAGTTCTTGAGCCTTATGATCCGCTCATGTCGCCCGATAATCTCAAGAAGGTTCCTCTCTGCTTCGAGACGGGTCATGTCTCCGCCAGGGGCAAGAGGATATTTGAAGACGGTGGAGTCATCTACCTCTCCGATGAATGCACTGCTTCCCGAGGCAAGGACTCGCTTCACTCCTGGGGGACAGTAATGCTGGTAAATAGTAATAGTTGGGTCTTTATCGTTCTCCATAGTAAGTTGTAAGAGCTGAGGAATTGGAAGAACCCCGCATGGCCATTGGCTTGGATTAATAACTTGGGCCGTGTGCCCAGGCAGTCTGAGCGTTCAAGGCTAGCGAAACAACAAAGTGTTTAAATCTGTATTCATAACTTCACGACATGGATTGTTCACATTGACGGCACACATCCCACCTAGCCAAACGAAAGTAATCCAGAGTCTGCTATATCATAAATGAGCGCATATTGAAGAGAATCCACGGTCCATGTGCACGCACAATCTTGCGACACACCACCGCCACGCCTTCCATACTTCCGTCCCCTCAAGTAGACCCAGACCGTTTCCAAGGATACGGTTGCACTGCCCAATGGTCAGGGCGGCTTGACCTAAAGTTCTCAGCGTGTCACAGAAAGGTTCATTACATGCGCCGTACGGACCTGTCTAACACTTTGGGCAAATATGACCGGGTGCCCTAACCGTCGAGCTTCCGAGGTGTACGTCCTTGTATGCCGTGCAGTTTGGGCCTCCAGGGTTCTGACATTGAACAAGTGTGACATCTTGGGTCACATGCTTCGGAGTTTCGGTACAGTTTTGATATACCCTGCGGACGATGCGTCGTTGGCATCCACAAGCCATGGTGTCGTTCGGCTTTAGGTGCAGAGGGGTAGAATGAAGTCGGCTACGGGCACGGCAGATCCAGAGGTGAGACGGGAACTTGGTTTCTATCAGGAGTAGCGGTTCACGGGGCCTGAACTGGTTGTGGATTTGGAGCGGGGGCTATTGAGGAGTCTCTATATTGCGTCCAAGTGCAACTACGAAGCGTTTATAACCTTCTGTTGTCTGATGGCTCCGCGGAGGCCGCTCTCAGCTGTAGAGCATACTCCTGGCCTTCAACAACTATATATGGCGCCGTGGCGCTTTATCTTATCGAGCGGGGTACTGGACGCCAACAGTTCAATCCATCCCGAGAGGACGATAGCAGACAACCGGCCTTGTTGTGACTCATGACACCCAGTTGCCAAGACTAGGCAGACGATGAATCCGACACTGGCTGCCTAGATGCCAAGCCAATAATGCTGATGTCTGGTTGACTCCATCTTGCGATACTATCTTGAGCGACAGGTTGCCCTTTAAATCAACAGTCCATGGATGGGCTAGAGGGAAGCCCCCGACCTCCTAACGCAAAGACAGCCGAACCCCGAATGCAATCAGGCGTGTAACAGTTTGTCCCTATGCTTCCTCGCCGCCAACTTCCTTCCTTTCAGCCACCTCCTTTCGCCCGTTCAAGCAACGCCATCCTATAAGATGTTAGGAGAGAATTTAGGACTGCTATACATCGTCAACGTACATTGACTCGTATCTTTTTGTACAATCTTCAGCCGTTTTCCCCTCAAGCGTTTTGGTTATCTTTCTGTAATCCGTATTTCCACTTCTTCTAAACTTCAGTAGTATTATAGTTTCTGCCTCGCTCCAATTCAACTCTGATTCGCTAGATTGCTTGACTAGTAGGAACAGCTCGTTTTCTTTGAGCCTCAAGGACGACAACCTTTCACTTGGTAAGTCGGAGGATCTACTATCGCGTAAGAACTTACAGATATGCATATCTTTCCCCACATATTTCTGCCGTCTGCTCTAGTGTATCTCCGATTTGCTGCCATGATTTGCAGAGATTGACCAACCTCAGCAACTCTATGTCGTTTTTAGTCGTCCACCGCTTAGCCTTCCACCGCTTAGCCGTGGTACGCTGGAAGGTCACTGGGGCTGGGGACAGAGGTACTGGGCCTGTTTGAGGGGATCGTAACGCGTAGTTGCCTGTCAAAAAGTCAAAGTAATTCTCAGTACGCGGCCGGTCGTTTGTGTGCGCGTGTTCACCCGGTGGATCTTCTGCAGGCTCCGGGTTCAGCAAACTTAATATGTTCATGTTATTGAAGTTTTGTTATGATCTGAAGAGATAACCCGAACGAAGAGATGAGGTTCGAACTGCAATAGAGTCATGCCGACAGCCTCTTATATGATATCAAAACAGACTTCGGGTGCTAGTGGGCAAAGGCCCTTGGTTGACCGACCGACTGGGGTCATACGCGTCGCATGAGCAAGCAATAACCGTAACAGAATTTCTATCCTCGCTTTTGTTAGTATGTGATTCTGAAGCCGCAGAAGCCTGGACGTCATATTCGCGTAACTCCCATCCGATGGGACTCGCTGCTGCCTCTTGCGTTACTTGTAGCCGTAAAGAGCGCTTTAGACATGTCTATCGTACTACAAGGAGGTGTGGCTGGCTGCTTGCCTCTAGCGATGTGCTCAAAGCATCGGCAGGCAGAGCATCAGAGGCCCTGAGGTGCAAGACGTATGTTTCCGTGATCGGCTAATTGAATGGCCTGCCGGGCACCACGAGAAACAAGACCTCATGCCCATTACAGGCAGAGAGGAGCGGGAAACATGACCTCTTGCCTTCGGCGGTGTGCTCCGAGCGTCAAAAAGGAAAGCATGAGAGTTGACAGTCAACGAGGCTCTGTGGCTTAGTCGCGGAAACTATGCTAGCCGGAAATCGGAGCCCAGTGGTGGGGCAGTCACATGGTCTAGGCTTTTGAGCAAATGCTAGGATGTGCAAACTTCAACAGCGCCTCGAAGACGCCCCCTTCTCCAGCAAAGTTTGTGTTGTCTCTCAGGTAAGCAATGCAGTGGTGCAAGAGGGTCCATTGACCTGGAGTCCGGTCCTGGAGGAGGACAATTTGGCGCACAGACGATATTCTGCCCTCGAGGGCATAGAATCGTCTGTGCGCAGTGGCTTGCATGAACTCGGCGAGGATGTGCAATTAGTCTTGGCTAGGGCAGTAGAGGTTGGCAAGCCTTCACCAGATGGACGTGAAAGGTCGTCAGCCACTTCCCCTTGGTGATTATCGGATGCCGGGACGGGTAGGTTGTCAAAGAGCCAGGACTTGAACGCAATAGATCCAGGGGATCCGAAGGCGGCACGGAGAGGACCGACATGGTGACATGGAGCTGGTTACGCCCGGCTTTGCTGAGGATACACGTTTGCCTTCAACCACAGCTCCTCCGCTTGTCGCCTGCAGGCTCCTCTGCAGCTTTCATTCATTCTGCGCCTCCTTCCTACACCGCTTCTCATATTTTCCTGCGGCTCCTGCATTGAGCGAACTGTGCACGTTTGCCTTCTGTTGCTCTGCATCGAGTCCACCACACACCCTCTTTCTTCTGCTTACGCCACGCACGCAATGACTTCTGTTCCTGGCCTCTGGCCCCATATATGTGTAGTCTCATAGATTGTGACACTTAGCTGAGCTCGGACATATCCTAGATTGTGAATATTTCAAGCCATTGGCTGGTGTTTCAATGGCCGATGTTCATAGACACGCTGACGGATTAAGCCATTGAAAGTCGTTTCTGCACAATCTTGGGATGACGTCTGGATTCACGGCGATTATCGAGAGCTGGAACTCCGATACGGCCGAGCTCCACCCTGATACGATTCATGGCAAGCGTCCGTGGCGAAGAAGTGAGCAGTCGCACCAGATGCGTCGTCGGGTCGAATCTGGCTTCTGGTAATGAAGAGTCGAGACTTGGAGTCAATGCGCGGCACGGAGGGCGTCAAATTGCGGCACAGTAACGACCATGTTGATATATCTGGTTGCGCCTGACTACATGGGCATGTCTTCTGCGCCTACTTTACGGCTGCAGCTTTTACCCGCCTCTCTTTGCCTACACTACAAGGCCCTTTTATTGACTTTCTCTGCGTTAGCGTCTTTCTACTAGTCTGTTTCTCCCACTTGCATAACCAAACTATTAGGGAGGTGAAGATACCTATAGGGGTAATAGGACAAGTATGAAATCCTAAGCTTTAGTTTTCTCGCCCTAACATCTTTACAGCAAAATTCAAATTTCTCAAGTCATCTCACAAGGTTCCAGTTTCATGGCGCAACCATTGGATCCTCCCGCCGCTTCAATATACAGTTTTTGCAGTGTCCATGATAGCAGGTCATCAAATTCGTCTATTATTGCTCCGCAGTCTACCTGTGAAAGCTATCCCGACAATCCAGGCAAATGTTCCCTCTGTCCTTGTTCCAACTTCGAAACGGACAGCGATCGTTATTTGAAAACAAGGTTCTATAGGAATCTCCCACCGAAGATGTGCCGAAAATGCGGACACCAGGACTCTAATCACGTACCATCTGGTGCGCAGGTCGTGGGCAGCGAATGCGGGTTCGGTGTAATTTCACCTCCCGACAACCAACAGAATCTCCAGCATCCAGCCTCTCCACAAGACTCCTTACATATCAATCTCGAAAAGGAGAACCTAGAGCTGAAACAGGAACTAAGGGCTGCAAAAGAACGTTGCTCCGAATGGGAGACAAATACCGGCACCTTCTTGTTACGAGCCAGGCAGTGCCTGCAATCACAGAAGGACGAGAACACCGAACTTCAGAAGCGCTTGGAGGAACTGAGGGCTAGAAAAGAACTTTGCTCCAAACGGGGCACGAAAGCCGAAGCAAACATGTCGCAAAACGAAGGGCCCCTACAATTACAGGACGAGAACACTAAACTGCAGAAGCGCTCGATACCCCTGGAATGGCGGAACCCCAAACGCCAGAAGCAGTTGGGGCCCAAGAACGACGAACATATTATCCAGGGGGGGATGGGCAGAATGGGGCGGGTCGGGAAAGAGGAAGCGACTGTAAGTTCAAATGAAGAGGCTCAAGTACCAATTTTGGATATTTTCGACGACCTAGACCATTGCAAGATGGTATGATAAGACCCTGATGATGGTGCGTAGACCAACCCATTCATATCCACCCTTCTTCATCGCGCTCCACTCTACTTTATATGGTGTCAATTGCTCCATTTTCCTTGCAACAAACTTATCAAGCTCTGACTCTGAGACAGGGGCGAGGTTCTCAATATGGTGGGTATTGCAAATGGTCTTCATGCCAGGCTGTCGGTAGAGGTGGTCGAAATCCGTACGGTGATGAAGGAGCGATGGTAGATCTAGCATTATTTGGTGGAGCATCCGTTGGTGGAATTTGGGCATCCTCTTCGTCCCTAGCGTTGCGTTGTAGGAGATTCATGTTTAGTTGTCTTTGAGGGAGGGTTACCTTTAAAGGGGGTTTATCTTTGAAGGAGTTATCTTTAAAGGAGGTTTACCAAACTATTACAGGTTGAAATGGGTCGCCGGGTGCGGTCCCGTTTCACGGTTCGGGTGGAGCTGGAGGCGAAGCTGGAGAAGGGTATTCTCAAGGCTTTGAAACCTTCCTCCGGGACAGTCAGCAATTGTATATAGGCTAGCATCGATTTAATGCTCACCTTCTGAAACTGGTTTCTGCGTTGATAACTTGGACGATCGCAAGCTGGATGTTGCGGCATGAGCATGTGGTTCACTGACTCGGCGTCCTGATACGATTTCTCGGAATTCAAGTCATTAGCGGGTCCGCTGCTTTGTCGCTTGGCTTGCGCGAAATCAACAATTGAAAACATGCTTCCTAGAACAGCGGAAAGCCCGTTAGTACATACTTTTACATCCTTCAACCTCCAGCCGACATAGACATGCATGCAGCGTATCACCAAGAACCCTTCTCACAGCAACCTTCACCGAATTTGGAGAGCCGCGATATAGGGTCGAGGGGCGGCGGAGGTCAAAGGTTGGGGGAAGGCTTGTGGCGTCTCGGGGTCGGGCATCGGCTTAGTAAGACAGGGAATGAATTTCTCAATCTATAGAACTCTTCGCGTGCCGAAAATCTACCAGTTTCAGCCAGCCGATGCGAGCCAGCAAAACCCTGTAATGACGGCAGCCAGTGCACCTAAGCTAGCCGCAAGCAAAGGCCTCTCTAATAGTATAGCCAGACAACATTCACTATAAATGGGATTTTTCACTTACCCCCAAGTTCATTTTTCAACCGAGGAAGATGAGGTAGATCATTTTCCGCTTCCACGCACAAAGCACTGACAGACTTTGACGAGATCCAGCCCAATAGTTTCCAACCCTTTTCTGATGGGAATTCTCCTGGCACAATAACATATGCGTGGAAGGTTTTCTCGTTGTGGGGATTGGGGACGCAACTCATAACGCGAATGCTACTGAGATTAGAGCATGACTCCATGATCTTACATATTTCGGGGATTGCTGCTTCAGGAAATGGCGGGGGATCTGTAAAGGCGACGATACGGTATTTGTGCCCTTGGTGATCGAATGGGCGGGAGGATGTGTTGCCCGAAACGAATACCTCTGCATCTATGTCGTTTATGTTGACTTCTGATTGTTGCATTTATGTTGCAGGATCCATGGGGAATGGTAGGAGGGAAAGTGGGCGATAGAGTCTGAGGAAGATGGAAACGGGTAACTAAAGGAGGCTTTATATGACGGGCGCTTGATTAGCCTGCTATGTCATATCTAGCTTCCAGCTTCTACTACTACTCCTACGTGCATGCGCCATGCTGTTTACAGCCTCTGAATGGAGGTCGCCAAACGCCACGGAAGGCATGTGGACCACTGTGTGCTGCGCGTGAGTTGTTGAATGATGTCGTAAATATACTTTGGCGCTGCTTATAGTCGTGGCAAGCGCTTTCGACATGCTCGTTTGCATGTCTGGAAGGGACTAAGGAACGCGTATGCCTGCATCGGGGGCATCGAACGGTATAGAGGGGTGTACCTGCGGAGAATAAAGTGTCAGTGACCCATTGCAGTGTAAAGACGTGTGGGGCAGATACCTATTGCATAACAACTTTGATGTCAACGCCCACTATTCTTGTGCGGCTGCTCCCGCAGGATGCAGAGTTTCATATAACGCGCATAGGCAATTAGGCACTAATAAAATACCGGTTCCAGCGAAGGAATAGCTAATTTCGCCTATAGAGGACGACGCGTTTATAGCCTTTTAAATTTGTAATTATATGCTATTGCGGCTTTTAGGACTTTGCGCGAACATTAGGCAGCTTTTTTATTTGCGCCCTATATAAGGGGCTAAAGACCCCGCTAAAGTTAATACTAAGATTTTTTACTTACCCGACCTCACCACGACGAGCTGTAAGCTGCCGCTCCACGCCTTATCTTTAAAAGTCCCTATAGAAAATATTTAGTTGTTTACTTAAAGAAAGTATATTTAATATCTTTATTATATAAACCTAGCTAAATAATATAGCTACGCCTACCCGTGTTGCTCTATATTAGAAGTAAGTAACTACTATTTAAAGCCACTATAGAGATAGCCAAATTTAGGGAGTAGCTATATAAAATTCCAAACTCGAGCTTAAGCTGGGTGCGCATTCCTAACCGCAGTCTGCTTGCATGTAATAATGCCGAAACAAGATCTAAGCTAGAACCGCTCTGCCTTTAACTAGTAATTATATAAAATGCTTTTATTTCTCCTAATACTAATAAACTAGAATATATCCGTAGATAATACTTATATTTATAGAATACTTTCCAAATTAAAGCTTTCTTAAGTTTATTCTACTATACTTTTCTATATATATCCTCTATATAGGTTAGGAATAATAGCAGGGCGAAGTGTAACAGCAGGCCAGGCTATAGTATTTAATAGTACACCTAAGGATAAAGCGGTGCTTAGATTTTCTAGTGGAATTATTAGTAAGCTTAAGGTAGAATATATATTGTTTAACTATTCCGGGTTTAAAAAAGAAATACTAGGTATATTATTAAATTCGGGCAGCTCTATTAGACTTAATAGAGGGCAAAGCTCTACTATACTAAATTTAGGCAGGTTTTCTAAACTAAATAGAGGGTAAAGCTTTACTATACTAAATTTAGGCAGGTTTTCTAAACTAAATAAAGGGTAAAGCTCTGCTATAATAAATTAAAGCAGGTTTTCTAAACTAAATAGAGGGAAAGTGTTAATAAAAGGTTTTAATATAAAGATAAACTAATATTCTAAAAATTTCGTTTATTAGTGCCTTTAAAACCAATAGCGTATTTAAATAGCACTTACTACTAAGCGCGCTTTCCGTAACCGGCCTAGGATACCTATATATTTTAACGCTGGCATTACTATAATACTTATCCTGTTTTAAACAGGTGCTGTTATTCTGTAAAGGACTTCTATCTCCGTATCTAACCGCGCTTTACTAAAAAACACTTCTTTATTAGCGTTTATAACGTCCGCTATCGTTAGTACTAGTGCTTTTCTTTTCTTTTTTTAGGTTAAAACCCTTTTTCTATACTATATTCCTTTCTAATAACTGTTAAAAATTAATATACAGCCTTAGGTAACGCATTAAATTACTATTACTTTTTATAAAACTAGTATATATCTATCTATATATAATTAACCCTTAGATATAGAGTAATATAGTATAGAACTGTTTATTAGCTCCTAAATAGGTAAGTTAGGTATTATAGAATTAATTTTCGCGAAATTAACGTAGATACTTAATTTTATTACTATTAAGCTTCTTCCAGCTATATATAAACTATTAGCCGAATATTTTAAGCCCTTAGACTTGCACTTATACGGTGATTACTTCGGAACCTAGCTAAACTAGATAAGTAGGACTATCTAGCTTAAAAATAGTAATAAAACTTATTATTTTAGTATATTTAGACTAAATTATTTAGGATAACTATAGAGTTTGCGTTGCAACTTGTTTAAATATAGCAGTTAGAGTTATATTTTTGTTAGCGGTTAGTATATCCACCGTATATTATATAAAAAGGCTGGTAAAGCAACTAGTATAGTCTAAAGCAGTATATTTTTTCTAAAGGCATTCTTTAGTATTATATAGATTATTTAATTATAAGAAAATATTATTACTTAGAGCTTAGGGAATTTATTTATTATTACTTAACTAAAGGTTTTTAAAGGCTGTATTTAGAATATTATTAGCGTTGTCTAGTTTAGTTATAACTTTAATTAGTAGCTCTACTTTTTTCTAAGGTAAAGCTTTAAACTTTTTAAGTTAGAAGTAGTATAGTAAGGTAGACCGGTGCTAGTATATAAATAGTATATAATAGGCGATTAGGCTTTTTCTTAATAGTAGCGGCTTGCTCCTTAATATAATCACCCTTTTATCTTCTTATTTTTTAGCCTGCTTTCGGCAGCGCATTAGGCTATAGTATAACGGGTCGTCTTTTCTATACCTTTTAAGTGTCTTACACTAAGGCAGGGTATAGGTAAGTCGTTATCGGGGTGCAATAGTCTTTAAAAGGTAAGGTAATAATTAATTAAGGTCTAAAACGGGGTTATTACTTCTAATAGGTAGTATTAAAGTCTTAAGTTAAACACAAAGTTCCTATCTATGCAAAGGAGCGTCCCTTTATATAAAAGCTCCGTCCTAGAAAACCTTTTTGCTCGTCTTGCTCTTAGAGCTTGTAGCCCTTAAGCGCCTTAAGCCCGATAAGCGCTCGTTCGGCTCTATACTTACTTCTCTCTGCGAGCTTAATAAGCTATTACGTGACCCTGTTCTTATAATGTCCCTTTCTTAAATTATTCCTATCTACTAGCAGTCTGTAGGGGAATCCAGGATCCCTATGCGTCCTACACGTAACCCTTTTAGTCCCGGGACCTAGTTCTATATAATTAGTCTTATCTGCTTACTTATCTCCGCGAGTGCCTCTACGCTTGGGTTATTTGTATTACAGGTTATAACACTCGCTCCCCCTTTTAAGGCTTTCGGCCCGAAAGTATTTCCGTGGTGGGGTTTCGGATAAGTAGCTGGCGATGCCCTATCTATTAGGCCGTTATCGTGCTACTCTATTTCTTCCTTTATAATATCTAACGCTTTAAAAGCTAAGAAATAAGAAAGCTATCTTATGCTTGCTAATTATATTAACGCGTCTGGTTTAAAAGTTATACCTTATTCCCGGTGCAAGTCTCGGGGTTTATCGTGTATAGTTTCCACACCTAACTCGGATTGTTATACCGCCTGTGTTCGGGCGCAATAATTAAACTGTAATATCGCTGGTATTTCCGCAGCTGCTTATAAGCTGGTTACCCTTACTATTGCCTTTCCTAGTCCTTCCGCTAAGCTATTTAGGGCGAAAGTTGTCCCGCAATAAGGATAAACTTTATTATAAGGAGTCGGAGACTTATATAACTTTTTCCTTCCTTTTAAATACCTAGAGAGCTGCTATA